CTAACGCGTAATAGTGATATATATTAATGAAATTCATCAGGAAAATTGCACTATCACGACAGCCGTGTGAACGGTTTCATAGCGAGCGCCCCTTTTCAAGCTGCTCTTAAAGTCCAACAGATGGTGACACTTTCGCCTGCGCCACCACTTGCTGGATTTTCTTTCGTTCTGTGCTATCCAGATTGATGCGATGTCCTTCCATTCCATTAAAAAAGGGAACTAAATTACTGCTATATGGGCAAATACGCGACTCATTGAATAAGGCGAGAATGCCGACGGGAGTTCTAAATAGCTTACCATGCACCAGCTCATTCATTTCATTTTTTTATAATGACATGATACCTTCAAAATTTATGTCATTAAATGAAGATCATGAAGAGCAACTCATTGTTAGAAAGTTGCAATTACCTATTAGTAACACAGTCTCCACGATTCATTTACAAGATGAAATGAAATAAATTATCTGGGATTAGAGTCAAGTTGGCATCGTTGGGTGTCCAATCGTTATCTATATATGCTTCGAAAAATTGAATAATTTGGAGCCCTTGCCCTATTGGTAAAAGGTTGACAAGCGAAGCTTAGTGCGTGCGTGCGTGGTTGATTAACACAGCTATCACTCATACACTTGTCGCCTTCACGATCAATAGAATAGGTTGAAGAAGTTTCTGAGCAGCTAATGTAATTAACTAAATGACAGCTAACATATATGATCATCGTTCCCAGTCTGTAACACTTATCTTTGTGTATGATTGTGGTGCCGAGAGTCGTCGGGTCTAGCAATTCGAGCTGATGTTTAGTGGTGAGCGATGCAAACACGTCATTATTTTCTTACGAAGTTTCGTACCTTTCGCCTTCTTTTCTAGGCTTGAGAAATAGAAATAATTCGGTCCTTACCTTTTCATTTAACGTTAATAGGCTAACCGTAGATGTCATTACTAGTTCGTACATTTGACTCCAAACTGAGGATCACTGTCGACTTCTATATCTGTTTACCAGAGCTTCAATTAATACTCCCAAATGCCAATAAAATAGGATACAGTCTTAAAGGCAGCGCCTGTGTTAGCAGTTACAAACTTTTCGCCTTTAATTTTCATGCACTCAAACCACCCGCGACGTGTACGCTCAACGTAACAATCACATAGATTTGCCGATTAGTTCGCAAAACAGGTGCGCGAAACTCGTCAGTTGTCAGCAAATGTCAAGAAGAAGTATACGACCACTCGAAATCAGCAAAATCCCGACATTGCGGACACTTTGAAGCCAACGATGTCGAAATAGAGTGATCGAGACAGGAAGACGTTAGGAGAGAATAATCGAGTGAAAAGGAGGCTGATCCAGAGACTAACCCCCGCATTCACAAACGCCCCTCGACTCGACTTCCACCCTTTACTTGACAGAGTTGAGCACTGCGCCACCGCTCGACTGAAAATGACGCTGCGTTACTCAAGAATCGCAGCAGATTATCGCTGATATGCAGTGACTTGCCGTGCCTAGAGACGGCGCTTTCATCGGCTTTCTCAAGTGAAGGTGAAGTGTTGAGTGAAGGGACGTTCTAGAATACGGGGGTAAGCCGGCCTAAGCTCTCTTAGTCCGAGGTTCGAAGCCACGCCTTCTTACAACGAAAGCTGGCATAAAATCGCAACTCGGGTCTCGCGCAGCGCCGTGGTTGTCCGCCGCTGCCGCCTCCGCCACCAGTGTCCGTAACCACAGAGAACGAAATTAGAAAAAGAACACCTAGCACCAATGACACAGTGGGGCTCGACTCCAGATCCGCTGGGTGACAGCCCAGTATCCTACAACTGAGCCACGCTGGTGCGTGAAACCCGTTGGCAAACTTGCCTTACGCAGGCTTGATATCGGGAAAGCAATTGCGTTAATACGACTTGTAAAGCGTTATAAAACAGGAAAACAACAACCATTCGCCGTACGATGCGAATAGCGTAATGAGTGTGTTGTCCAAAGTTCCAACACATTACAAAAGCTTGTTCTTGTTCCATTATTAACTGTGGTGCATGCCCACTTCAGGCCTAATTCCTCATCGTCGTCACCCACTGCGTAAACCATTGGCACAAAATCCCTTGCAAGTGTTTAGCGGATACCACGCTTCTCAGAAGAATGACGAAATATTTGTAGCGAATGCTGCCCTACTTCCCAAACTTTTTTATTAATAATACCGTAGTGGGTATCAAGCAAGTGTGCTTGCAGCAGTTGCCCATTGAGTGTTTAGAAAAGGCTCTGAAAGGCCGCTCTTCTAGCTTTTTCTGTGACAGTGCTGCGCCTACCACGCAGACCTGATGTTTTTTTTTTTTTTCTGAACTTTCAAACAGTTTGGAAAAGAAAGCCAGGCGAGCTACGAGTCAGGGGACCTTGAGAGCTCATAGGCGGTCAGGTGGTATTCTACACAGCTAATAACGTGCCACACAACCCTCTACTCAGCCTCTTGAGACACGAATTACGATGCTATTGTCAGAAAGTTCGTGTGGCATAATTCTAAGGCACCCAGTATTACATTAAAAAAGGAATCAGAATCATGCATTTCGAAATAAACAAAGGATTAAGTACATCGTAAGAATATACAGAATGATGTCCCGTAGTCACAAACTGAAATGAGTCGTCTTGTGCATGATAACGTGGTGAATAATATATACAAAATGGCAATATGGAGGCTTAATAGTCACATAAGGTAATATAATACGAAAAAGTAAATCAACGAACAGCATTAACAAAATCATTCAAAAAAAGAAGAAAAGTAATGTGGCTAAGTTACCTCTGAACAATCTCGTGCCCTAGCAGCGTTCCACACATTAGCACCGCCGCATTTAAAACTCCTCAAATTAGTGTGGGTCCCAGGTCACTGCGGATTACAAATAAATGAATTGGCAGATGCTTTGGCACGAGCATCACTCGATGGACCAGTAATTTCAGTACTTCCCGAGTTAAAATACTTATCAGGGGTTAGATATAGGAAGTTCGCTATTTTTACAGATAGTTTAGAAAATATCACACAATGAACAGATTATCAGCACCTCAAATTTCCATGGAAAGCCCAGTAGAGTCCGTCAAAAAAACTTCAAATTATAATCTGCAGATTCCGGTGCCGTGTCCCCCAATTAAATTTTTATTTACACAGAGCTGGTCTGACACTTTCCCCCCTTTGTCCGTTCTGCGAAGAATCTGAAACTATTGAACATTATTTTGGCTCATGTCGTAACTATGCATTAAGTAGGAAACGACTTTTAGATATTCCATTTGCGAAGCTTGGTTTAAATTTAACCACAGAAAATGTTTTAAGTTTTGGTGCCTCTGTTTTGGAAAATTGCCACAGAGATGCATTCGATGCGGTGTGTAATTTTATTCAAGACTCTAAACGTTTTTCAACATAAAGCCCACGCTAACAGATACCCCCTAAAAAAACGGGTCGAAAAGTAATTTTCAATTCTGGATAAATCCGTGATATACCAAATTAATCGGGTTTGGCAAAACCAGCTGTCTGTTCGACTCCTAAAATCAAGTTGTAGCTATTAGTGTCTACTTTGTTGTTGATTCTTTTTTCTGACTATCTAAATCTTTGGTTTCTTTCTTTTTTTTTTAACATACTGTATTCACTATAGAACTCCCCCAACCCTTTTTTTTTCGTTGTAAGCAATAATGCAGTTATCGTCCATATGAGACTATATGTTCTCTTGGCCAATCCCCCAGAGTGGGTATGAGCCATGGATTAAAGGATACAAACAAACAAACTAAGTTATTAAGAGTAAGAAGAGTAGGGCGCGAAACATATTCAAAAATTAAAATGAAATTGCAGTGCAAAGGGATATGATGGTAGAAAAGAAGAAATGCAGCCGAGTTTTGATGAGAACGCGTATACCATAGGTCATTTTCTTTTTAACGCTAGAGACGTGTAGATGAAATTTAATGTGGCGATCAAGATCGACCATTAAAATCGTAAAATTGTTAGCTGAAGAGATAGTTTGATTGTTGATGGAAATGTTTCAGTAAGAGTGAATGAATGCTGATGTGAGGAAAAGATGACATATTTGGCCTTATTATGATATATTTGAAGTTATTTTCACAAAGCCTACACAATTTCAAAAATCTTCATTTAGGTAATTTATTAGCGTAGATAGGCAGTGACTAGAAATAAATATCATCGGGTCGTCAGCATATAAAATACAGTTAGATGAAAAAGGGCAAGGCGGCAAGTCAATAATATAAAATAAGAAGAGTAGGGGACCTAAAATTGACCCCTTTGGTACACGTGTGTTAGCCACTGCTTATTTAGAATAAAAAACAGCTATATCGACAGTTTGTTCTATCCTGTAAATGACTGCGGATAAGGAGCAAAGGTGGACTGGTTATTCTAATAGCTTCGAGTTTTGCGAAAATAATAGAGAGAATAATAGTGTAAATGCTTCGGAGTGGTCTATAATATGACTGCTCCAAATTCACTTGGATGAATTGCCTTTTTGAGGTAACCGGTAAGTGTTATGTGAAGTATATTTGTTGAAAGCCGGAGAGAAAGCCGAACTGATTGGCGGAAAGAATATAGCTTTTATTTAAATTACTCGTGATTTATTTTTGGATTATTTTGAGTATTTTGCTCGAAAATAGAAGAACGCAAATGGGTCTATAATTCTGTTATTGTGTCTCATCACCTTTTTCGGAAACAGGGATGACGCTACCACGTTTTATTTCACGAGGAAAAACACCAGATTTAAAAGCGAGGTTGATGACAGATGAAAGAACGTGAGCAATGTGTTCTACAATCATCTATTATGGTTAGCTTTCATATTATCAAGTCCAGGACTCGTGGCGTTAACTGCCTTGATTGTCGAAAAAACTTCATCTGTAGTGGTCGGGAAAAGAAAAAAAAAGAATGAGGAAGCAGAATCAATAACACCATTAAAGAAGGCATCACATATTCATTAGAGATATCTGCCAGAATACTACATACTATGTTGTCAAACACAATTCTTGATGTAGTGCTCTGGTTGCTACGGTTAAGGTACGTGTTTATTACCAATTTTTTTAGCAGTACGCGGTCGCCTACGTCGGAGCCAGGCGTGCCGCAGTGCCGCCGCCGGAGTCATGCGGCTCGCGGGGTCCCACTCCAAGCACCGCTTGAGGAAGTCCACGAACATTGGGTCGTCGCAACCTTTGAGGGCGCTTGACCAGTCCTTGGAGCCCGGAGGACCACGCAGCTTTCCGCGTCTAGACCGTCCCGCGCCTAGAAGTACGGCGCCGAAGGGTAGCGTAGTGACGGTGCAGTAGCGCGGGTAGCCCTTGGAGCTGATGAAGTTCTTGGCCCGCTTGGCCTGGTCGAGTAACTTCTGAGGCGGTGGGCCTAGCAACTCCATGATGCAGGCCAGCTGATCGGCCTCGTCCTCTCCGGGCAGGAGTGGGTACCCCGTGAGTAGTTCGGCTAGGATGCAGCCAAGACTCCACATGTCGATGGGCATGCCATACTTTGCACCCAGTATCACCTCCGGCGCTCGGTAAAAGCGCGACTGGATGTAGGAGTAGACGCATTGGTGTTCGAAACACGACGACCCGAAGTCTATGACCTTGATGCCCAATCGACCCTGCTGTTTGAGCAGCACGTTCTCGGGTTTCAGGTCGCAGTGTATGATGTGACTGCGGTGCAGCGCGTCCAGGCACTGCAGGAGCGAGTGGGTGAACTTGCGCACCATCTGCAGGGAGAAGCCCTTGAACTTGTTCTTCTTCATCAGCTCGTACAGGTTGATGGACAACAGCTCGAATGTGATGCACGTGTGGTTGCGGAAGGTGAAGTGTTTCCAGCCTGTGGATCAGGTTGACGTGTTGTCGCGGTCCTACGACGCAGGAAATCCAGTATGCGAATCTCCTCCTGCGCCTGCCGGTGGAATCGCTTCTCGTTGCGAACATCTGAGGGCCACGTGTTGGTGCTCCTTGTGGTCGTACGCTTTGACGACCTGGCCGAAGGAGCCCTTGCCTATCACCTTGAGCATCTCGAAGCGGTACGCGATGTGGTCGTGGGGAACGTGGAGGTATGAACCTTCATCGTCGTCGTAGCCGCAGTTGTTCGGGGTTTCTGGCGCTCCCTGGCGCTTCTTGGCGTTGGCGCCTATGAAGTAGATCTGCGGGTAGTTGATGATCTCGTGGCGTTCGTACGGGCTCAGCTTGTGCATGTACATCTGCATCACCTGCTCCGGCGTGGCCACCAATGTTTTCCCCGCGCCGCCGCCGCCGCTTCGAC